CAAAGTTTGACTGGCGTTAGATATTGCAAAGCTTTCTAAATGCCTCATTTCAAATTTCAAAGCCCAGCACACACCTGCACCATCTGTGTGCTAGTTGTCTGCAAAACCTCCCAGATCACCAAAAAATCTCTGGGCTCCAGGACCCCAAAACAGGTTTTACTAAACAACAGGGAAACTGAAAATCCAGTTTACTCTGAATGACAAAAGCCCACCAGAGCTCCTCAACATACCTGGATGAGAGTCCTGGATAAGCAACTCTTTTTACACCCTTGCAGGGCACAGCACTGCCATACAACACAAGTCATAACATATATTGCCAGCATGACATGGATCTTCAAAATAGCATCCAAAAAATTTTAGAACAGTCACATCACATCTGTAAACTTTGAAACTTTGATGTTTTTGGGCCACTCATATGCCTGATGAAAGGGTCCTGTGTGGTCCAGTAACATATAAATTTACTGCTGTGATGTGATCACTTTAATATACAGTATTTTTGGACACTATTTTGAATACCCATGGTGTGCTGGCTATGGCTGGCTAGCAAATCTTCACTTTTTTCAATTTTAATCCATAACTGGTAGTGAAGGCTGTGAAACCGCATGACCACTTTTACCACATACTTGCTCTTATCAGACATTTGTAAGTTCCTGTAAAAGTTGAGAGAAAGCAATACTGAATATGAAAAAGAAAAGCAGGGATAAGACCGAAAATAGATAGTGTTCTCCTCTTCACAGAATTTACACCTGAGGAAATGTCACTGCTTCTAAAGAAAAAAGGTCCATCTGTCTGAAAATGACTGTTTTGAGACCTTGAGCAAATCATTTAGCAAAATGATGCATCCTAGATCAAAGCCTTAGTAAGCTTCCTCTTCTCTGACCATATATTATACCATTTCATCTGTGTGGGAAAAATCATATTCGTTTTTCTAGAGGGTAAACATGACAGATCCTCTAATTTGTCTTCATACATGCCACACAGTGTTATTGCATTATTATACCCACAAGGCAGCTTTAATATATTATTATCTTCTGTCAATGTGATCAGCTATGATGTAATGTTCACAGTTCAGCCTTTTTACATATTGTGATTATTTTTTAACCTCTTCAACCTCAAATCCATTTCCCCTAAGGTCTAAATATTTTTTCCTTTCAGAAATATGTCGATGTCATGCCATATAATGTGTCACCCTCCATTGTAACATTTGTATTTTACATACACAGTTACATACTGTATACTAAGGTTGACATTCTTCCTTGTTTCCTGAGGACAGTCCCCATTGTGAGGGATCTGTCCCTGGGAAATAGGCATCCCCGGACTATTCCTTAGGAACCAGGCACGACAAGGTTTGCTGTGTTCAGGCTCCAACTTATCAAACTGCGCAAGTGACAATTCAAAAATGGTGCCACTTGAACGCCCAGAATTCAACGCAGCGTGCAGAGTGTACTGCATTATTCCCCTTGTGATCAATTGTTTCAGGGCATATTAAAAAATGGGCACATGATTTGTGGGTGCAGCTACAAATGTGGTTGAGGTTTTTGTGGGTTTAGTCAGTAGGGTGTCCTCGGATTTCATTTTGAAAATCTGGTACCCTTAACAGACACATATACAAATCATAAATACATTTTTTTACACATAGGGCTTAAAGTAAACCTGTCATAAGAGATGTATGAGGACCGTCTTTGCTAACTTCATGGGCAACTCAGACATATGGAGAATAATCAGACATTTTTATTTGGATTAATTGCTCTAGGTCAGTTATTCAAGGTATTAAAACAACGGAATGACAGCCAGATAACCAACATTTTTCGAAAGAGAAGTCACTAATAGCAATGACAAGGTTCTTTTAAAGGCAGGGGTTCTTAAACTTTTTAATCCGATCACCAGAATAAGAAAATTGTTACCATACTAAGACTCAAGAAGAGAGTTGTTACCAAAATGTCAGCAATGCCAAAGACAAATAACAATAAGGGAATATTGAAAAGTACACATTAAAGTGAAAAGCTGACATATTGTTAATAAAACCATAATTTAAATTCAAAACACAATACATTCCCAAGTGTCATTCCAGGGCAAGCATTGGATGTGACCATCCTGCACTCACAGTAAGAGAGGCTTAAAAAGCCATAGCTAACTAAAACTTAAACCTATTCACTGAATACACTGCAGACGTGCCACAGTTCTTGAACCCACAAAATCTGCTTTAATTACACACAATGAAAGGTTTTAACTCACTGGAACCTCAAAACAATTACTTATAAACAGAATATTTTCCCTTAAATATGCTTGTGAGCAGGTGCAGTGGGCAGAAACTACACAGTCTGAGTCCCAGTGCAATTCCAAGAATCTATTATAATGAAGTCCAATATAAACAAACAGACCCAGTGGGAAAGCAACATGACCAGGAGCACTCACAAGTTGTAACAGCAAAATGGCAGTAGTAGTAGAGGCGACGACAGTATTGATATCGAGAAACGGAAGTGCCCCTGCACTTTCACTTCTCCTCCAGAACCTCTCTATGCATCCTCCCCAGAGGCTATGCACTGTCTCTGACAGACAGGTGACCTGCTCTTATTCTAGCCACTTGCACAATGTGCTCCAAATCTGGGAGCCAGGGTCTGAAATACACTCTGCTTGACCCAAGATGGCCACCAAAGTCACATGGAGTTCCAGCATCCAATCAAATAACTGCCTCCTGAATCCCCCTGCACCACTCTTATACTGGACAGATTTATGCCTGCTTCTTACATTGATCACCTGATATCTCCCAGTTCATCACTATGCTGGGCATTACAAGAGGCTGTCACAATGGCTCTTTACAGCAGCTGGCTCCATTAACAGGAGTACATTGTTGCACTGGCATTCTTCACTGTGCCAGCATAAAACACCCAACAAAAGTAGGTCTGCTTCACGCAGTTTTAGAAATGAGACTTTATTGGTATTGAACTGATACCAGAGATACCACAGACTTGCCTAATTAGTAGCATTAGTGTGTGTAAGCATAGGGAGCTACAGAACTAGTACACTAAGAACAAAATCTTAAAGTTTAACTCTAGGCCCAAAAACATATATTTAAATATATTCATTATAACCACAAAGGCATTAAATCAAACTTGTGTTCTCTGAACACCTTTACAAATCCAAACATTGCCTAGTAAAAGTAGCAGTGACATGATCACTCTGTTGCACATAACCTGAACAGAGAGCAGAGCAGTGGTAGGAGAAGCACAAGGACAGAATGCTGTCACCCTGTAATGGGAAGTAACAAAGACCTTCATGCCAGAAGAACCAGGTATTATTTTAATCAAATTTAAAAACATTGAAAATTACCTTCGAAATTACTTATATGTTATCTGAGATTTTATTGACTAGGTTTACATTTACTTTAACAGAGAACTGCAGTCATAATAAATACTGACAGTAGACCTATGTAATACTAACTCACTGATACTGTCTGTTAGAAAACACATCTGCCTCCACCCATATATTCTCATATACCTGTATGGCCATCCATTAGAGCAGTAGTCTCCAAATTAGATTTGGCCCTTTACTTTTTTTTATCCAGCCCTTGGGGCACTATTCCATCTACTGACACCAACAAAAGGCTTTCTTTTATCTGGCCCTTGGGACACTATTCCCTCCACTGACACAAACAAACACCATAATTCCTCCCAGTGACCCCAGAAAAGAAGCACAATTATTCCCAACAATGAGACACAACTCCTCCCAATGACACCAGCGATGGGGCACTATTCCTCCCACTGACACCAGTGATGGGGCACTATTCCTCCCACTGACACCACTGATGGGGCACTATTCCTCTCACTGACACCAATGATGGTGCATTGTTTGCTCCCACATAGGCCAGGCCACTTTTTACTCCTACTGACCACAGTCTGGCCCCCCTTAAGTCTGAAAGACAGTAAACTGGCCCTTTGTTTAAAATTTTGGGGCACTATTCCTCTCACTGACACCAATGAAGGGGCACTATTCCTCCCACTGACACCAACGATGGCACATTTTTGCTCCCACATATGCCAGGTCACTTTTTACTCCCACTGACCACAGTCTGGCCCCCCTTAAGTAGGAAAAACAGTAAACTGGCCCTTTGTTTAAAATGATGGGGTACTTTTCCTCCCACTGACATCAATGCTAGGGCACTATTCCTCCCACTGACACCAACGATGGGGCACTATTCCTCCCACGGACACCAACAATGGCGCCTTGTTTGGTCCAACATATGCCAGGCCACTTTGAACTCCCACTGACAACAGTCCGGTCCCCCTAAAGTCTGAAGGACAGTGAACTGGCCCTTTGTTTAGAAAGTTTGGAGACCCCTGCATTAGAGTAAAAGGAAGGAATGACAAAAATTTAGTGCTTTCTTTCCCCTTGAAATTTTGGTGGAATATTTACATTTTTGCAAAATGCATTAGAGTCAACGCGAATGTGAAATTAAATGTTTTTTTGGTAGTGTTTGTGGTATGGTGGTCAAGTGAAGCCTGAAAAACGGCTACTACATATTTTTGCACATCCTATACTGGGCACCTCTGCCGATCAAAATACTGACGTGCCTTTTTATTGCAAACAGCTTTTGTAATACTGGACCCGTTCTTGTGTTAAATACTAATATTTTGCATTTTAATTTGAAAAAACATTATGTAGCACAAATAAAAAAAAAGATTACAAGATGTCATATAGTTAGTACACAAATATTGATCACATTATCACACATAAATACACACACACAAAAAAAGAACGGCATACAAAGAACATTAAAGTGAACCATCAATCTCTTTTTAAACTTCATTCTTTTAGCATTCTCTCCCCCTCTAATACCAATGGATGAAAAGGCTAACATTTTATATCTCAAAGTACCTATTTTTCACAGATCCTGTCCACTTTCTGCTTCCTTTGCCTAGGTCAGGGGTAGGCAACCTGCGGCTCTCTAGCTGTTGTTGAACTACATTTCCCATGAGGCATTGCAACATTACAAAACTGACAGTTACAGCTATGACTTGCAGAGGCATATTGGAACTTGTAGTCCTGCAACAGCTGGAGAGCCGCAGGCCTAGGTGAATGACATAGCAAGCTCTACTCCTGTTAACTCCTGGGCAGCGGCGGATTGACAACTCATGGGGCCCCCGGGCAATAGGGAATCATGGGGCTCCTGTGTCCTCGCCGACACTCAAATTACACCCAAAAAAGCCCAAGAATGGTACCAGGGGCATCTCATGGGCCCCCCTACTGATTCCGGGCCCTCGGGCAGTGCTTGAGTCCCCGAATGGTCAGTCCGCCCCTGCTCCTGGGATATTATTGGACTTATTTTTTTGTTCTCATGAGATTTATTGTGAGGGTAGGAGAGTGGGGGAGGGCAGAGGAGGGGAGAAGGCTGGGTGAAGATGGGCAGAGGACAGGAGGCTGTGTAGTGTGCATACATGGACTTACTGTATACCGCTATGTAGCATGCACAGACTAGGTGTGTAGTGCACATGTGCAAGATTTAGCATTGCAAAGGCAGGAAAAGCAGCATGAATTCCCAGAAAACAAAGGGCACCTGCTTCAGTTGCCCTCAGTTGAAATGACTGCAGGGACATACAGTATAGGGTGAGTGCAGTTACAGCCTACTTTTTACATTGAAAAATGCCTGCATTGTAGTTCTATATCTTCTTCAGTACTGCTAGGTACCTAACCTCCTAAAAAAATTGAGCTGCACAGCGGTTTCTCCAGCAATTTTGTTTTACAGATTGAATAATGAAGAAAAATTGTAGCCATATTTTTCCAATCCTACTTTTATGCAATCCCAGAAATGTACTTCAAAATATGACAAACAATGTTTTCTACTGCATAAGTGCAACATTTACCAAATATAGCAGATGGTAAAGACCAAAGTCAAACAAAAGAATATTGGCCGTTACAGAAGACACAGGAAATGTTATTTCCTTTTCTACATTTTCAGTAATTTTTGCTACTCCCACTCTTGAAAATCTTGTCAGCCTTCATTATTACTCACCCACGTTCTGTACTTTAGAGAACCACATTCTCTCTCATCACTTTTCAATAATATCTCACTTACATGTCATCAACAGCTTCCACTCTTTCAATCTGTCATTTCAGTTCTGTTCTAAACACATTCTTTATGTGGATTCCCCTTCACTTCATAACCAATTCTACTCCCTGGAGCCGAACAAGCTAACTTTGGTTCTAACAGGTGTTTTCTGACATGACAGTTGGCATGGCCCACACTCATTTCATTTGTGAAAAGCCCAAGTGAACTTTCAGTTTAAAGCGAAACTAAACCCTCCTATCCTTTACAGCCAAGGAAGCTGCCATCTAAGTCACTGATCTGCAACTGCCATGATGTTGTACATATGACCTGTTTCAACACCAGCCATTTGATGGTTTGACAGATCTGTTAATAGCACAAGCAATTGTGATAGTTATCATTTATATCATGCCTTGAATGTAGCTGTCGTTTGAAACTGTTAAATTGATGGGCTTAATTCCGCTTTAAAGTATAAAGCCAAACCTTTTTTTTTAGTTTTGGACAAAGAAGAAATTGATTAGAACACCTATTAGGTTTTTTTTTTTGCTGCCTATGCCCTGGTAGGGAGAGTCACTGTCTCTATTTGTCCTGTTTGCCATTATAATCAAAAGTGAAAGTAAAGAAAACTGAAATTTTGGGTTGCCCCTAGAAACTTAATAGAGGGGAAATTTTTCAATGGGGGCAGTAGTTCTGGTGAACTGTGAGCCCCCAAGGAATTCCCTTAATTTTCGGAGATTATATCTCACTTCCACTTTTGGTTATTGGACAGGAAATGAAGGTAAGTCTCCCCAATGGGACACAAATAAATAAACTGATGGGGGTTATAATCCTCCATTACTCTATCCAGAATGAAGAAAAAAAGTTTTGCCTTTAGCTTTAGTTTAAAACATATGGTAGTAGAGTCTTTGTGGGATTCATTTATTAAAACTGGAGAGTACAAAATCTGGTACAGCTCTGCATAGAAACCAATTAGCTTCCAGTTTTTTTTTGTCAAAGCCTAAATGAACAGCTGAAGTTAGAATCTGGTTGGCTACCTTGCACAGCTGCACCAGATTTTGCACTCTCCAGGTTTAGTAAATCAACCTCTGTATGTTTCTTTGCCATAAAATACTTTTTACAGCTGTTTTTTTTTGTATACTGACTGTGGCACATGTGTAATGCAGTGTAAACTTCTAGCCCTCTCCTGGCATCTTAAGATAGAACAATAGAAAAGTGACGCCAGAACAAGACAGAGTGGTCCATCAAGTCTGCCCGTTTTTTTTGTTTGTTTTGGGATTTTATTTTGGGAGGGGGGGTTGTTTTTTTTTTTTTTTGTTAACTTTTGGAAGTTTGGTTGTGACATAACAAACCTGGGTCCCGGTTCAGCTGCAGGGACTCAGGTTTTAGAATAATGAAGGACCAGTTCACATTCACGGGAGCTATGTCATCAGGGGCAGCCCAATGGCCAAAGGTTACGCACACCCTTGAAGTAAATGACAATGGCAGGAATCACGAACCTTGTATCGAAAGAGGAGGGTAAACACAAAGGTAAGTGTGCCAAATTGGCAAATTCTGCTGCACCCAACCCCTGTAACTTTCTACTTTACGTTGTAGCAGCATGCCTTATACTACATCATCATCCTGATTTTCCAAGTACAGAAAATTATGCTTACAAAAGTTATAATCTGAGAATTAGAACCATCAAAGAATGAACTTGAACCTGTAGCAAAATGAGCATTAGAATTTTCTTTTGTCTAAAACAACACAATAACCAACATGAGTCTGGTGCAGACTGTAGCCATCATAATGTGAGACCAATAACAAGGCAAGCACAATATGTAGTCAACCAAAACACAAAAAAACTCATATGAAACTGCTAACATTAAAACTCATAAGATTATGGGATTAGACCAATTATAAAGCTAGTCAAATTTGTTCAACTTTGAGAAATTACATTTGCATAAAAGCCAGTATTTAGCAAACTCACCCCTTTGAGAGCTTGTTTCAAAAACCACTCACACCAATGCATTTTTTAGTGCTTTTTGCAGAAATGCACTACAGTCCATTCAACATCCAGCATGGTTTCCAATGGACACGTTCACATCTATGCTTTTTTGAACATTTTGAGCTGCTGTGTTTTTGAAAAGGGTCAGGTACATTCAGGGGCGGACTGACAACTCATGGGGCCCCCGGGCAATAGGGGATCATGGGGCCCCTGTGTCCTTGCCCTAACTAAAAAAAGCCTATGAAAAAGGTACCAGGGGCATCTCATGGGGCCCCCTACTGACCCAGGACCCTCGGGCTGTGCCCGAGTTTCCAAATGGTCAGTCCGCCCCTGGGTACATTTTTAAAAGCAAAAAGCAGCATTTTTGCTACAACAGAGTTCAAAAGAGATGCTGCTGCTATGCATGTAGTGTGTTTAACCACTTCACATCTGCCGAATGCAAATGTGCGGCCTCCCAGTGTCTGGACCTAGACGCTGAGTGGCCGCACATTTGCGTTCTATAAAAAAGAACATATGTGCTGAGAGCGTGCGCCCTGTGCACTCCCAGGACACATGTCCGGTACTCACGGAAAGGTCCCGATCTGCTCTTTCGATCAGGACCTTTCCCGATCATGTCACGGCGTGTCACGGCAGGCAGTCACATGACCCTAAACCCCGCCCCACCTCCCGGCTTCTGAAACCCTTAAAGGGCCAGGAGGCGCTGGCGCCAAGAGGTTAAGCTGCATTTTTACTGTATTTGCCACGTTTTGCATTTTTAATTTGCCCAGCAACAAAAAAGATTCTGTGGTAAAAACACAGCAAAAACACAAAATGCACAGCAGTTAGGATGTATATGAATCTGTGAATAGACATAGTAACGAATGTCAATAAATCCGAAAAAAGTTTGTTTCATTCATTAAATTCGGATGACATCACATGATGCGATAGTAGTTTTGGCCCAGGGGGAAATTAATTTAATCTTCAAATTAATTTGATAATTTGGGTTCGAGTAAATTTGCGATTTAAAGGATAAGTTCACCTTTTGGACAAAAATAATAAATGCACATTTTTGTGCAGGTAAAAAAATGTGCATTTGTTATTTTTGAGCACAGGAGCCTGGAATGCATTGTACCAGTGATCAGTAGATCGCTGATGCCATGCAGGTCTCCTGCAGACCTGTCAGAATATTTGCTTGCCATACAGGATGTACAGTTAAGCAGATATTCTGACAGGAAGCTTGAATGAACTACCACGGCTTTCCACAGCACAATGGTAGTTCATTAAAAACTACAAGCAGACAGTCGCTAAGGCTATCGGGACTTGTAGGCACTCCTTCACAGAACACTATGAATGAGTAAAGCAGCCATGTGGGTGGAGCCCCGCATGGCCGCGCTGTTTTCAAATCTGACAGATAGTACGGGAAACCTCCCCATACTATCTGTCAGAGGGAGGGGGCTGGTGGGCATGGCTGTGGCTATGGGAACATGTTACATGTTCCACCCTATATACTGGTGGAACATGTAACATGTTCCAAAGGTGAACTTATCCTTTAAATTGAATTTGTAATTGTCACAGACAGTCAATTCAGTTCCATAGTCTAAAGCAACTCTTAGGGTTGAAAAATTCTCAGCCGTTTAATTTGGCATTATTTTTTCCACTGCATCCGAAAATATTGAATCCTTCCAAATAGTTTCAATATATGAATACTGAATCCACCTGAAATTTTTAAACTGAAAACTAATATATATAGTAATCTTTCTAAAAGACTGCTAAATTTTTCAAATCCACCCAGACCAATGAATATTCGAAACAAATGCAGAAGATACAAATTAATTTCGAAAAAGAATTGGGTCACTATAACGAATATGACAAAACAAAATTCTTCAGTGAACGAATGCATCCATAATAAAATTTAAAAACTCCATCATGCACATGTCTACTTAGTATAAACAAAGAGCTTACTAGACGAGCTCTACTACCTGTTGAAGTGAAAAGATTTTTTGTGTTTTTGAATTTCTGAGTTTTCCTAACAGTAAAAAACATTGAATCATTTCCTCTGGTT